ATTTAAAAGTTCTTTTTTTTGTGTATTTCTTTAATTCATTTTTTTTATTTTTTGTTTAATAATATAATTTTTTATAAAGATAATAATTAAGTATTATTTTAGAAGTCAATGATTATCCTAATTATATTTTAGTTTTTTTATAATTAAAATGAAATGTTTATCCTCTATTTGATTAAGTTTACTTGAAGTTAGTTATACGAATTCAAACATGAAGCTTTAATAAGTTGTACTTATGCACAAGTTACTTATAATCTTGAATTTTAAGTAATATGAATCAATAAACAGTATTTCATGCATAAAAAATAATTTTTAATAGTTTTTATCAAATGCTTTATAATATACTATAGATATTCTATTCATTTAATATCCTTTCGGTGTTATTGACATAACAGATGTCATTTTTATTTTATCTCTTTCCATTTCTTTTCTATATATGGAAAGTTTCAAAATCATTATATATATATATATATATATATATATATATATATATGTATGGGTTGTTATAGCCTATGGGTGCGTTTGGTATGCAGACTACATGGGACGGGACGAGAAAAAAAAATAGTCCCATGTTTGGCATGTCATGGACAAAAAATACATGGGACAAGATGAGACTATTTTTAAATTTCATGGGACAAAACTTAATGATTTTTATTCCACCAAAATAGGTGAAACAATATGGGACTAAATATTAATTGACTATATTACGTTTGTTTCCAATTAAAAAATCTAATTACCACAACCTCCTTTATTGACCCGTCTCTTCCACAATTTATAAAAAATAATTAATTATATAATTATTATAAAAAATAATTAATTATATATTTCCAAAAATACCCACAGAGACTGTGTTTTCGTGTAGTTTCTTATGCTTCTTCTTCCATTCTCTTCGAATATTACACAAAGATCAATAAAAACCAGTTCCCATAAATCATATGATCTTCCAAAAACGTAATTTGCATTTCAGCAAATATTTCTTCACAGAAACCCGTTTTGATGCTATAAAAATGATCTTGATTCCTTTCGTTTGGAATTTTTTTTGATATAAAATAATATTGAACAACATTTAAGGGTAATATGGTCATTTTAACAATTTTGTTCTGTGATGTCCTAGTCGTACCAAACATGGGACATAAAATTAGTCATGTCCCGTCCCGTCCCGTCCTGTACCGTCCCGTCCAATCCAGTCCAGTCCAGTTCAACCTGCATACCAAACACTACCATAAAGTTTATATGCTCAGACATAAATAGTTGTTCAACTGTGGTTTATTCGGTCAACCAAAAAGGTAAAGTTTTTTGCATTCACACATCTATTCCTCTTTTACCCTTCACCCTTCTCATTCAACAAATCATAAAACCTCTCCATCTTCACATTTTGACCGCACCACATCAAAGAAAAAATCTGCCCATCAAAGTTTATTCATTTGGTAGTAAGTGACCTAATAAACACTTATTAAATAAGTGTTTGATAAACGGTCCCTAAATAAGGTTTAAAAATAACAATAAGACTAAAAAACGCAAATAATCCTCAACCATCAAATTATTTGGATCAAATAATAAGACGGGATTATTATTTAATTAATCAAGAACTATAATAATTATTTAATCTTTAAACTATTTTTTTTTTCATTATAAACATTTATTCTTGAAAAAATGAGTATAATTTAATAAAAACATTGTTCTTAAAGCTAAAAGTCTAAAATGATTACCCATTTTGAAATCTAAAGATATATTAAATATGGTCAAAATTGGAATCAAACCTACCATAAAAAATAAATAAAAAAAGTGTACCTTTTTAAAATTTTGTTTTCAAATAGAGTTTTTCCATCCATATTGAGTTTATGTGAAACTCAATATGAATAGAATTTGAATTTTCATATATGAAACTTCGGGGCCGTTTACCTAAATGCTTACCCGGTAAACGCTTATCATTAAGAGTCAACAGTATCATTTATTTTATCGAGTAAGATTGTGGTACATCAAAACGTATCTTATGCAACAATTTACATGATAAGCACTTACTAGGATTAAGAGTCGTCACCCTCACTTACCGGAATACCGGGTAAGACTCTCCATTCTTATCATCGTTCTTACCGAGTAAGATTCTTGCTCCTTGTCATGTTCATCCGGCAAGGAAAGTCGCCCAGCAAGTAATTACCGGGTAAGCGTTTAGTAAACGGCTCCTTCATCTAAATCCACATATGATGCTTGAATGAAAATCTCATTAAGACTTTGAAACATAACTCATGATATGCATATCTTTAGAGAATGTTGGCTTAATAAGGTTTATATGTGAAAGTGTATGTAAATGGTTGAGCAAATGGTAATATCTACATAGCTTGGTAGGCACAATGTGTTGAAGCAACATGAATCTACATAGCTTCACATATGAAGCTTAGCATTGTAAATTCTAGAATTAAGCTAATTTGATTAATATTGGGGATATATATTTAAACCGTCAAATCGCATAAACCGTTTACATCATACCACAACATGCGATATGGTTTGTATTTTTATCAAACTGCGCTTTGCAACACTGGATATACCTAACAAAAACCAGATCTTCTAACATTAGATTAAAAATATTCAGCTTCAACATATTCTCTATTTTTACAAATTTCAATAGTTATTATATCTATTAAATCACAATAACAATACACTTTTTTATATAAAATAATAATTCGTTCATCGTAGAAAAGAATTAAAAAAATAATTTCTATCTCTTCGACGTCTAGTTTTAAGAAAGGAAAAACTAAACACGTAATTTTCCATTATTTTCTCATTATTTATCTAGATATAATATCATAAATAATATTAAAATGTGAGTGGGGTTTGTTTGTTAATCTCTTAATAGTTCTATCAAGAGGTGACATCTAAATCGTTAAAAGGGGAATCTTTTTTGTCAATTTTTTTTGTCTCTTGATAGTTCTAAAAACCTTTGAACGATTTTGTAACCATTAAGCGCCCTAATTTCATTGTAAACAATTGCCAAACAATTATATTTTATTTTACACTATATTATGAGAACCTTTTGATCATTCTAACTACTTAATCATTCTGCATGAAACCATTCAACAACTTTCAAACCATTCAACATATACTTAAATTGTCTTTGATTTAAGATGGACCAACGTATTTTAAGTTGTTGCATTGTATATAAAGCTAAATAGAAAAGGGCAACAGAACATATACAAATTACAATAATAAATAAGAGTAAGTTATGTCTTTAGTCCATGTGGTTTGTTAAAAATTGCAATTTTAGTCCTTGTGTTTTCAAAAATACGATTTTCATCCTTATTGTTTGCAATTCATTGCAATTTTGTCCTTGGGGCTAGCTCTTACCTATAAACGTAAAGAACAAAATCAACAATGAATTATAGGGGGTGAAGTGGGTACAATAAGGCTTTTTCTTCAATACCATGTATTAACCAATTATAATTGGTATACGAAATCATATACCATGCATCAAATAATGATACCAACTTTTTTTTGTTGGTATTGGTTTTGTACCAACCTCAAGTTACATATATGAAAACTTACCATGCAACACATGTGATGCTTAAGTGTTTTAGTTGTAAGTAATAAATTTGCAAAGATTCAAATGTTCAAACAAAACGGTTAAAGTTACAAAATCTAATTACTCATATATAAGAAATTCAAAAACTAATCATTAATTAAATAAGTCAATACCATGGTACTACCGTGATATGTGACTTCCAATACAATGGACCAACTAAATGTGCATACTTGGTACAATACTATCAATAACTAGTACCAATTTAGTTGGTATAGTTGGTACACATGTTGCCTAGTCTGGTTTCGTACAAAATTGTCACCCGTATTGAATTGCAAACCACTTAGACGAAAATATAACAATAAATTACAAACCATAAGGATAAAAATCATAATTTCAAAACTATAAGGATGAAAATAGCAATTTTCAACAAACTAGAGGAACAACTAAATAAAATGAAGAGATGCATGATCCAAATTGGAGCATTGCAGCTTGGACTTTTAGTTGAAAGCTTCATTTCAAACATAATGAATAGATCCCATAGGTTAAACCGTCTCAAATAATTAAATGTCAAAAAACAGACGAAGAATCCCATGAAGATGCTTTAGGATCATGGTATCTGATGCTTCCTTATGTTGTTGCAGTCTTGGACCTTTCTTCTAATGGATTATTGTAACAGTTAACTACTGTATTTGCAAAATATGAATATAAAAGAGTATGCAAATATAAGTGATTCTAAGCAGTTTATGAAACAAAATAATCATCATACCAAAAACCAAACACAGCATTAATGACTAATTAATCATGAAAAAATGCAAAATAACACCACCATTCACATGTGAATGCAAAAAAACATCTTGCCACTTTTGTCCAAAAGCATGAATGATTTTTTTTATTCTATGTTGTTTGTAGAGGCAAAAATGATGGTTTATTTGCACCAGAAACATCAAACACAACGAAGTTGTCACAGTAGTTCAATAGAAGGAAACATGCCTAGATCAAGCAAATGCAAAATGGGATTTCACATTCTAGTTTCAAGATCATGAAACCACAAAATGAAGAATGACTTCAAGATCAAGTAATGGAGAAAGGGATTTCACAGCTTTAGACAGGAACCAGTTTGGTTGTAAGTTCAGAACGTAGAACACGATGAAGAATGATTCTCTAACCAAAACAGAGTATGGACAAATCAATTTTGTCTGAAGCTGCTATAATTCATTGGAATCATCGTGTTGGACGAAAAATATAACAGCACTCAAATAAGCCAATAGTTCACACACACATAAATACTTCAGCATGCATTAACAAAAACTAACGCACAACAGTAGGGAAAAAAGAGTGTAAAATGGCATTGATTGACGTGAAAAGTGAAGAGACTTCTGTAAGACGACACATCAACGAATCCCCAGAAAGGCGTGTAAAGAGACGAAGAAGAGATCTTACGTTGGATTGCAAAACTCAACAGTTGCAGCCAAGTCAACAAACGGATCAAGCTTCGCCAACCACTGTGAAAAGAAGTTCCAAGTATCGTGGAGTAAGCAAACATAGATGGACAGGCAGATACGAAGCACATTTGTGGGATAAACTTTCTTGGAACGTAACACAGAAGAAGAAAGGAAAACAAGGTAACCCCAGTTACGTTCTTTCTATTTCATTTCATATTTCTTTTTATCAAGAAACCTTTACCTAATTTTCGTTCTTCTTTTTCCTACTTCCATCTGCACTTCGGATGACATGTTTCAACTGAACAGTTTATCTTGGTGAGTTCTTCTTCCCACAAAGCCTTAGGCATTAGTGTTATTCTAATCTATTCGATCATAAAGTTTACATTTTTTGTTTGATCATGACTCAGGGGCTTACGATGAAGAAGAATCAGCAGCCCGAGCGTATGATCTAGCTGCACTTAAGTACTGGGGATCATCAACTTTCACAAATTTTCCGGTATGAACCTTAACTTCAATACGTTAACATAGTATCTTTAAGGATCTAAGTGCTCATCGACCTCTAACTTTTGTGAAGGTCTTCGATTATGAGAAAGAAATTGAAATAATGCAGACTGTAACCAAGGAAGAATATCTGGCCTCTCTAAGGAGGTAATATTTCATAGAAATTATAAGATTGTAGGAAGGTCTATTGTTGTGAAGTAATGTTGTTTGTTTTTCGTTTTTCAGAAAGAGCAGTGGATTTTCAAGAGGAGTGTCGAAGTATAGAGGAGTTGCAAGGCATCATCACAATGGAAGATGGGAAGCCCGAATCGGGAGAGTTTTCGGGAACAAGTATCTCTACCTCGGCACTTATGGTAAGTCAACGAAGCAAAAATTTAGTCATAAGTAGAATTAACAAACCAAACCAAACGAGATTAGTATATCTCACCCAAGGATGGGTTTTGGGGGGGGGAGAGATATACGCATACATGATCTATACACCAAAGAGTAGAACAACGGTTTCCATGGACCCTAGTGATAGACAGAAAATAAGCCTTGTTTACTTATTGATGACAGGCTGACAGCCTCTTACTGGGTAAGAAGCGCTTACCCGATAAGAGGTGAGGTTGTTACCATACAGTCTGACCGACAAATGATGCTAACTAGGTAAGAAAATAAATACTCTCTTACTTGGTCAGTGCTTACCCACACGGCACTCTCACCCAGTTAGTGCTTACACAACCTTTGTTAGTAAACGTCCCCTAAGCCCAAAAAAGTTTTGAGAAAATATAATCATTAGCAATATTGACAACGATGGTAATTGTAGAACACCCATGAAACATTGTAACATGATCTGCAAAACAGAGTTTTTGGATGCGTTTATTAAAACAGAAATGTTGAATTACCGAATTGCTTTACAGGCACCCAAGAAGAGGCAGCTCGTGCTTATGATATTGCAGCGATCGAGTACAGAGGCGTGAACGCTGTTACCAACTTTGATTTGAGTACTTACATCAGATGGTTGAAGCCAGGAACGCAAACTCCAGCTGCCTGTCAAGAGCCACAAACACAAAGAGAATTGAAGTTTAAGCCTTTTAATAACTTTGGATTGATCGAGGAACCAGAGCCATCATTCCTCCACTATAGTAAGAATTCCATAGTTGATGAAATGAGCTTACCCCAGAAAGAAGAAGTGTCTGAAACCAAAAGTCCTCTTAGTCCAAGCACAAAATCATCTCCAACAGCACTTGGGCTACTACTTCGGTCATCCATCTTTAGAGATCTCGTTCAGAAAAACCTTAATGGTGGTGACAAAGAAGATGATGCAGAAGACATGAAGATACAACCACAGATAGTCAATGATGAAGAGTACACCGACATATATTACGAGGCTGATGATAATATCCTCCCGTTTATGATCTCCCAAAACGCAAATGCTATCAAGTTGCAAGGAGACTTCAACACCAACTATAATTTTCAAGAAAGTCCACTTGGGTCAACGTTATAGGCTCGGTGCATCTATTTGCAGAACCAAGGGGTTGCTTTGACAACTTTTCAAGCTTTTTTTTACCAGGATCAGGATAAATGAGGGGTTTTTAGTTACCTTTCACATGTAACTCCGTAAATAAATTTCCTAAAATTCGAAGAATTCTTACCAGTTACTTGCAGGAAGAATATACTGTAACTTCATCCCATGTTATATAGATCACATGAAATCTTGTTTCTGTTGATCATGTATAATTCAACCGCCTGAAACCAGTTTCTAGCATCTCTCTCTTTTTGGGAGATTTCTTTCTAGAATAATAAAATACCGCAGCATTCTGATTGGTTGCATACATAACTTGTGCCGAGTGTCAACAATATAAGCATAACAAGCAGACACAAGTTCTACAGACAAACTTGTACCCACCAAGCAAAAAAAATTGTACTTATGGGTTTAATTTTGGCTACAACTCAGAGTTAATGAGGATATCTAATGTTCTTGATTTTAAATAAATGAGCAGAAAGGAAAGCTGGAAGTACGCCTAAACATCGTGCTATCAAATAAGCATATGATTGAAATCTGTGTTTCCTAGCACTTGACCCAACTCATAAGCAGAACGTAAGGGCAACGATTCGATAGGTCTCAATAAGTCTATCCGATCTCCTGAGTCCATTGCTAAGGACAGGCTTTTGTTTCTTGAGAAGATATTCATGCAAGGACTGCAAAGCCGACACTGGTGCATGAAGGGCCCCAGGTTTGCGAAGGTTGGAAGGGGAAGTAAGGCTAGCTGATAAGTTAGCCATGATAGTTGTTAGCTGATAAGACAGTTGTTAGTTCATAAGCTAGCCGATAAATTAGTCATGTTTGAAAAAAACTAGTTGATAAGCTAGATGATAATAAAATGACCCAAAATGACATGCCTGCAGAATAACTGTTTGGAAATATATTATGTGCATAATTGAAAGAAAAGTGGAACAAAGCTCCCGGAACTTATTGAAACACAACAAGTTTATGTCTTATAGGTTTTTTCAATAAGCTCAAAAGATAAGCTAGCTTATGGTTGCCAGCATGGCCTGAGGGTCTACTTGTCTGCAGCTTAATGACTTTAATGGGACTCACAACTTACACGGTCAGCCATACATGAATGATTGGTAGTGACTTAATGATATCGAAAGTGACTTATTCAGTAAGTTTCTAGGGGGAGCTTTATGCAAAAAGCCAAGTCTTTTTCAACCTGCCCCTCCCAGTTAAAAAACACACTCCCTCCATCTAAGAAAAAACCCTTCCAAACAAAAACCTTCTCAATCTATATAGATAGATTAATCCACATAGACAGCTTTATCATACAGGACTTAATGGAAAACCAACCAAACAACTCCTAAGTCTATGTATGCCTTTTCATTCCATTGCAAATATGCCATTTTTCTTCATGACTATAACTGGTGCTACTTCTTATTGTTTGGCCTTAATGGAACACGATAACACTATCATCGCTTCTGTTGATCTTACTCGGTGTTGCATACAGATGTGTACATAGAGAAGCAGATAGCAAGCAAAACTTAACCTCAGGCACATAAAACACAGAAAAAGGCAGTCAATCAAACGCATTGCAAAAAGAAGAGACTGATATTTCTATCCAATTTTACTCAATTCCCAGTAAATGGAAGGAGAAACTAGAGCTGAAATCTCAACTATGAAGAAAGAAAATATATCTAAAACAAGCCAACATATTGCTTAGACTCACTGAGGCAAGGTACGGGCCTTGAACCATTTCATCGTACAGTAATACAGTGATGAATCTTTGCAACTGTTAAAACTCCTCCTTTTACACTTCAAAACTGCTTCCTTTTGTTACTGAATAGCTTGTCTCTCTGCAGATAAGCATATAAGAGAACAAAGAATATTCCTATCGACATGGAAAACGATGCCCATGGAAATGGTGGGTCTTCAAAGCAAACAAGCGATGCCTCCAGGTCTTGAGATGCATGATATACGATAGAGTGGATTGCATACAGATCATGATCAGAAGATCTCAAGTAATATAAAGCCATTTCAAAGTCCAAATGTGACAAAGAAGAAACCACCTTATCCAGCTTGTATTTAAACAAGTTCCATCTTTGTATGAACTCAGGAAGTTCATTGTGTGGCAGAAGCTTTCTCTCGCCACCATGGGCGGCTATGGATTCAAGAACATCAAGTGCACTTGTGATGGTGTAGTTCAAAGATGTCAATAGAACATTCCTCCTAGTTGCATCTTTCTGTATGAAAGACAATGAAGAAAGTTCTGAAAACGGACCAAATGGGGTGTGCCCAACACTCCAAGTATAATCCACCAGGGTGCTATTATGCTGTGGGCTCCAAACCAAATGGGTTGGTGACACTCCCCACATACTCTGCAAGATTGAACCCACAAGCGGCCTTTCAAGTTCCCGAGTTTGTGTAAACACATGACGGCCGTTGCAACTATAATCACTCACAGTCTGTGTGTTCTTAGTCCTAACCGCAATTACCATATCCTTGAATGCAACAGACTGATGGTACCGATCGAGCAGCAAAATGGTATTCACCTCTAAGTCAAAGATATAAACAGGAAGAACCCTCCCAAAATCTTCTTCCGGAAGTTTCGCCAACCTCCTAATCTCATCTTGGGACTCCGATAACGTCTGATGAAGGCGTTTAGAATCTAAATACTCGCTAACAATCAAGGTATAATTATCGAACAAGTATCTAGATGTATAGGATGTGACTGAGAGTGAAATGGCAAAAGAACAAATGGAACATTCAGCCAAATCAACATCATATGTCTTGAACTTCAATGACTGATCTTTAAACAACAACTCGCCATCATGAGCTTCATCCATGAAGTTTTTTTCGATCACATTAAAATCTAGACCTTTAGGATCCTTATCAGGGCCATGAATATGTATAAACTGAACAATCAATGAATTCTCAAAAGGAACAGGAATTCTTAAAGAGGGTACAAGAAGTACTTTATAGGCGCTCCAAATCAAAGAAGCCATATCAGCAAGTAAAGCTTTTTGAGACTTGGGTCGACCATGCAATGCTGTCAATGGATGAAACTCTCCTCTTGGCAAAACTCCGTCACCAGATAACGCAGGGCCGTAATCAACAGGTCCTGCACTCAAATCCATCCACAAGTACCTACCTTTTCCGGTCCAGATGCTGCCGGAGCATTTGGTAACACCAAGAGATGAATCACCAGTATCAGTGTATTTATAAGCATAGGGCTTCGATTGAGTCCCTAAATTGAGCAAGTAGATGTAAACCCCTTGAAGAGGTTTTTCCCTTTCAAAATCCTGTTTGATAATCGAATCGATCGAATCGTGAGAAATCGAAATCAAATTGGATCTGAGAGGCGATGGAGATGTTGCGATTTCTGATTTTATTTTATCTGAGAGCTTGACGGAGAGGGAAGAGGATGAGAGGGAGACGTCAAGGGAGGGAGAGTGAGTGAGAGCGAGACGGTGGTTGGTGTTGGTGAGAAAAGGGGTGATGACATGGAAGTGATCGGAGGAGACGGCGGCGGAGAGGAAGGAGAAGAGGAGGGAAGGGGATGTGGAGGGGAAAGAGGAGGAAGGACCGACGAGTTTGACGTAGATGGGGACGGATATTTGGAGGGAGAGGAGGGCGGAGGTGGTTGGTGGAGGTCGGAGATTGGAGGAGAGGGACTTTTTCAGGGGGGAAGAGAGAAGGAGGAAGGTGTCGTTAGTGGCCTGTGGATCGAGACGGGATTGTTGAGATAGGAAGGAGTCTAAGCCTATGATTGGGATGGAAGTGGTGGAAGTAGTCAGGAGGAGGAAGACGGTGGTGATGACGACGGAGACGGCGGTGGTGGTGGTGGTCATTTTCGTTGTGAAATTGGGAGAGTCCGTTGAGAGTGGAAGGAAGTCAAAACTTGGCCATCTCCGTTTTGATGGTAGAGCGTCTCAACTCTCAGCAGCTCCATCTAAAACGAATTTTGAGTTTCTTTTATTTTTTTCATTTTCTTTTTGAAATTTTTTTAGAAAAATCTTACAAAGTTTCTGATTTAAATGATTAAGAGTATTTAACTAAACACTTATTCAGGTAAGCGTTTATCGAAAAAATTCAACATTGTTGTTTACTTATTACGTAAGATTTTAGTCCACAAAAATGGTATCATGTACAACAATTTATCCGATAGGAAGGTTTTAATGTAAAAAGAAAACCTAAATCAATTTTACCATTCTCAAATCCTACGTCATTCAAATCCCTCCCCCTCGTCATCCACTCTCTATCACCGTATTGGACGGTTGTATCGATCTCTCTCTTTTTGATTCGTTTTCTCGGTTCTCTTTTTTTTTTTTTTTTTGTCTACACAAGGTCTATTAAATTGTTTTAAAAATTGAATCACAAAAAAGGAGATTAATGAATTAGACCAACATCAACTATGGGTGGTATGCAATGGAGGACTTACATGAAAGGTCAACTTTTAAGCAACTTAGGTACAAAAAAATTGTTTTTTATGCTTATATATTTAATTCCTCTGACCATTTACCACGGTTTTCTCTAATGTACCAATCTCTTTTGAAGAAAACCTCCAATTTCTCGCTTTGACAGTTCTCCTCCTTCCATGTTGTAAACTAACCGAATGTTCAACGAATCGTTCGTGAATCATTCAGTTGGAAGTTCGTTCATGTTCGTTTATTTAATAAATGAACGAATATGAACAAATTTTTTTTTATTTCGTTTAGTTAAATGAACGAACATGAACACTTTTTTTTTCGTTTAGTTAAACGAACGAACATGAACAAGAGTTTTCGTTCGTTCATTTATGTTGGTGAAGATTCGTTCATTTACGTTCGTTTATACATTAAATTTACTATATAATCTTTTATTTATTTAGTTTGAATTCAAATAACATTTATTTAAGTTTTAACTTTTTATAATTTATTTAGATTTAAATTTTATCATCATTTTGTCTTATTTGAAATGTTTACCTTTTCACTATTCGTTTATGTCCGTTTAGGCTTGTTCGTTTAGCCCGTTCGTTTAGCATGTTAATGAACGAACATAAACGAACACGAACACACCTGATTTCTAAACGAACGAACACGAACACAAAAAAATTTGTTCGTTTACTGTTCATGTTCGTTCGGTTAAGTTAAACGAACAAACATGAACAAGCCTTTGTTCGTATTCGTTCGGTTTGTTTACAGCCCTACTTGCACATCGATATCCAACATTAGTTGTTCGATTCTAAATCTTTGTTAAATATATCTCAATTTTATGTTATTTTAGTTTAAAGATAAATCAATTCATGTATTGTTAATTTTTCTACATGCTCAAACCAATTCATCTATGAGAAAATTATATAAAATAACAATATAATTTATATTTGGTTAACCGAAATGGTAAAAACAATAATCAAAAGTAACGTATTTATTCGGTTAACCGAACCGTTTAACTTGCAAACCGTTTAGGTTCAAATGAGTTATTGGTTTCAGATTTTTTATATCCCTAAGTCACTAGTCACCTAAAGTTTTTGGATTCGTCACTAAAAGTATGGAGAACCAACAACAATGGGGCGGCACGGCCGCACGGGGGTTGAAATGGCCTAGGGTTCTTTTTACATTAAAGTCTTCTTGGCTTATTTCATACAGTTTTTTGGGTTAAAATGATATAATTAACCAATTTTAAAAGTTTAGTGGTTTATTTAGTAAAATATCTTTGGCTTGTAATGTTACAAGGATCTACAACATGTATACTATATTTTCTCCATCTTCTAAATTTAGATATATCTTCATTAATTTTCATTTCTTTCTCTATTTTAGAGGAGACTTTAATACAGTTATTGAAGCAAAAAAAAAAAAATCTAAGGGGATGTTTAGGATTGCTTATTTGAAACAACTTATGCTTTTCTATAAAAGCACTTGTCAAGTCATTATAAGTCAGAAGACTTTAATTTCTTCAAAAACTCCTTATTACCGGTTTGGCACCGATATAAGTTGTTTATCCAAACACTCTAAAGTGATTGTTACCGATGTCACACCGGAATAAGTCAATAAGTTGTTTTTTTTATAAGCAATCCCAAACACCCCCTAAAATCTCCAAAAAATTTAAAATAACATAATAGTTGGAGATGATACGCCTTTTTACATTTGAATTAACTATCATGTTATTATTTAAAATAGCTGCTTAGCCATCAGAGTCATCGGCATCACCAGAAGTTGATGGGCACCAAAATTTGGAACCAGTGATCTGGTCAGTCGATGAGCCAGAAGAGACAGCATTGCTGAAATCCCGAAAACGTAATACACCCTCTTCTTGATTGTAACCAGCAGTAACAATACGAAAACCATCTGCAGCCAAACCAGAACAGCCAGCATTGTCTAAAGGTGATGAAATCAGAATATTTGTTTGGTTACCGTTGTCCGCCTGCCAGATATTAACATTTGGATCTTTAGGACCTCCGGTTACTATTTTGTACGGGTCCATGTGCAAATGGGTCACCGGACCTATATGCCCATCTAGTTCAGCCATTGGACATGCTTCCGTGGTCCCTGTGCTTCTCCTGATGTCCCAAAGCATGGCTCTACACGAAGTAAATAGAAATATCACAACCCATTTGCAAATAGTAAGCAGATATATTTTCCGAGATATCATGCAATAAAAACGACTCCCACTATCCCATGATAATTGTTGTGACCATGTTTGGCTACCATAAGCAAGCTTATTTTTTGAGCTTATTGAAAAAAGACCTGTTTGAAACCGGTCTTAAGCTAGCTTTTTGAAAAGCTACTTCAGGTAGCGTTTCAATAAGCTTTAGTTTTTTTTTCCAATTATGCCCTTCATATCTTTCCTATTATCTTTTAACGTGACCTTTTAGGTCATTTTACATTGTCCTCTAGCTAATCTCCTAATTTTTACCAAACATAGGACATAACTAGCTTATCAACCAATAATAAAGGTAGCTTATTAGCCAAGAACGAGCTTATCAGCCAATTATAAGGTAGCTTATTAGCCAAGAACGAGCTGATCAACTAGTTTGCTAAACATAGCCTATATTTCAAGATGACTAAAGCATTCGAATATGACAAAATGGAAGAACACTTGCATACCACAATCAATAACATAACAGAAGTTGTATTCATGATAATGGACAATTAGGTAATATACCACGATCAATAGCATAACAAAAGTTGTAACGATGATAATGGGCAATTAGGTAATTAAATGTTGAAATTTATTTTGCCAAAAATAAAATATTGCATCTCAAAATAAACATTGTTGCAAATTCCATGGGACAGGTAGAGTGCATGAATGTCCATAAATAAAGGCCAGTTTTAATATCTTGGATGAGTTTTACCTGCCAAGTCCACCGGTGCATGCTAAAAAATTTGAGGGCATAATGTCAAATGAGTACAGTTTTCCTTGGTGAGTTGATGTCCTGAAGACTCTTTTCATGGTCCTCAAGTCAACAGCTTCAATAGAAGAACCAGCAGCTATATATATCAACGAATCATGGCACTTCATGCCCACCGGCACACCGGAGACGGAGGTCGTGCCCACACAGCTAGAATTACGATCAGAAGCTGATATAGAGGCGTCCCATACCCTAACCTATTTTTATTTAAATTGTTAGAAAACTTGCAATGTACGTTCACAAGCTCTTTAAAAAATAAAAAGAACAGTGTGTTAACTAAGCAAGTAATGTCTATAAACAGTTTTTATAAGCCACCATCGATTCAATCCATAAGAGTCTAGAGACCAGATAATAAGAGACGGTCTCTAACAAATAGAGTGTTGACGTATTAAACCAAACCAAACCAACCATGACTCCAGTTACTACTTGCAAGATGATCATTCATTTCAAGAAACAAAAAGAGAATCAAAAGAACATAGAGAGGTCATCCTGATAGGGCATAACAGATATCAGATTATAAAAACCTACAGGTAAGACAATTTAATTTTTGATGTAGTCGTCAAACATCTTTTCTGAGGATAACTAAGGGGCCGTTTACCAAACTCTTACCCGGGTAAGTGCTTACCGGCAAAATTCAAGACTATCACTTACCGGGTAAGATTTTAGTCCACCAAAACGGTATTGTATGCAACAATTTACCCGGTAAGCGCTAACCATGGTAAGAGTCATCGCCCTCACTTACCGGGTAAGACTCTCGGTCCTTGCCTTCGCTCTTGCCGGGTAAGATTCTTGGTCCTTTGCATATTCATCCGATAAGGTAATGTGACTTGGTAAGCGCTTACCCTGGTAACCATTGGTAAAAAGCCCCCAAGTGCAAAAGAATTTGGAAGAATATAATTTTAAAAGCCAGGCTTTATTGCACATTTGGTCCATTCAGACCAAACTGCTGCAAGATTACATAGAAAAATCAGAATCCCAAATATCATACGATTCAACAAGAATATGCCTAATTGACACTACCGAGGACAGTTCATGACAAAAGCTACCAAGTCGTAACTGAAATGGGAAGTGATGAAAATAACATGGTTTGAAGGAATGACAATACCTTGGAATCTTTGGACATGCTCACTATAAGGGAAGCCCTATGCCTGGATATGGATACAAAAAAAGGAATATGTGCAAATGAGTAAGCATGCATCCATCGATCAATCCACATAGACAGACACACATATACACAGAGAATCAGACACGGACACACACACAGAGACACTCCGGCCACAAACCTCCCCCCAAGGGCACACCACACACATGCATAATATACATGCAGTTGCATTGACGGATCGACCTCCTAGTAGTTTTTCCAGTGACCTCATCATTTGATATGTCGATAAAATCGGAAATAGATTAAGAATTCGATACTCCCTCCGTCCCAGAGAAAAGTTGACCCTTGACATGTTTATTAATAAAATATTTGACCAATGGTCTAATGTCTAAAACGCCCTGTAATAAGAACAAAAAAGGAACTTGTGGACTAAAATCAAAGTTGCTAATTTTAAGTAACGATTACTAACGGGCAAAAGGGTAAAATAGGATTTAACACTCACCAAAAAATGCATTTTTTGGGACAACCGAAAAGGAAAGGTGTTATTTTTTTTTAAAATGAATTAGTTCCTACTACTTGAAATCAGTCAACTAGAAGAATGGTGCCCATAAATGAAATGCCAGAAAATCAAAGTAAAATACACTCTAAAAGATATCCAAAGCCAGAAGTATCACATATATTTTTCACTTACATGAGTTTTTTCAGTACTTCCATGAGACATCTAAACTACAGATTAGACCACCACGCTTCCAAATTACAGGAGCCAAGTTAGGAGCCTAGAAAGCAAGATACATATAAGGATTTTGAGCTCACCCCTTAAGTAAATAGTATCTTTTTAGGGGGTAAGGAACACAAGGACCAATGTGGGTATGGGACATTTCATTTCTTTGCTAGATCAGGCAAATTGTTGTACCCATACTCATATGCTATTCATTGTGAGGGAAGCCTTAAACTCCTTTCCCCTGTATGTGTGTGCCTTCTGTGTCTGAACAGAATTACATGTGAAGATGATTTATACCCTGTAACAGACATCAGCACTATAGGTTTCTCATGCCCATAAAGTGTGCCCTTCAAAGCATGTTGACCACGCTTTCCGCTTGAGCTCAGTGACCAAAGGCGAACCGTACTGTCTTCACCTCCACTGGCAAAAACTTTTCCAGTTCCATCTCCTAACAATTTATCAGAAAGGATGGTAACTGGACCATTGTGACCTCTAAAACATCGCTGGCAACTTCCCTGGAATCAGCATTAGTAACAAACTTCACTAATCAACCAAGGATATGTAACAACAAAATGCTATAGCTTAAAATGCATTAAATGCTACAGAGCACATTCATGGTTCCATCTGTTTTGGAAGATGCATCACAAGCATGGCTTCAAGGTCTAATGAATGAAAGTGAATCCCATAAAGGTTATCATCCATACCTTCCACCATAGCCGAATAGAGTGATCGCAGCTTGAGGTGACTAAAACATTTTCATTTATTTGTGCCTCATTCCGAAATAAAGATGTTTCTTTCAGAGGAAATAATCTGCATGCAAAAGGCCTTTGTCAACCATAACTAGTTAGCTAATGATTAACCACAGGCTGGAACAAAGCATGTGTGCCACTAGCAATTATTACCAATTGGATATATATGTATATAGTTATCTAATTGATTCCATCCTTCCAAAAACATGTATGAGTGTGTATAACTATATATGCATATATATCCAATGATCAACCACAGCTTAGAGCTAAGCATGTGTGCCACCAGCAAGGGTGAAATCAATTAACATCTGAAGTATATGAAGAAGAAAACACTTCCAGTAATAAAAGCAACAATAGATTCACAAAACAAGACCAATATATGAAAATGTTAAGTTTATATCTAATATCAAGTTAACAGAAATTTCTTCATCACGGTATAGTCTATTCACTATATGCTTTATGAAATGATACCGGCACTTTCCATGATATGGTTAATGGTATCCTGTCTTGCCTTCTTTCTGCTTAACAATCACATTTATAAAAATAAACTGATATACACACATGTCAAGTTGTATGCTTACACCGTCTCACATGTTTGTTATAATGACCTTTCTACACAAAGGTCAAGCTTAAAAAATCGAACAAGATACCTCATAGAGAATAAATAACTTTGAAGTATCACCTCATGCTAGTAATCCTCGCACGATGATCATTAAGTGGGGCAAAGACAACTTTTCCTTCTAAAAGTTTATCGATATCCAAAATCTGTATAAGTGGACCCTGAAAGTTTGTAACAAAAAAGAAACAAGTGACAAGGCTTGAAGATAAGAACAGGTTATGGTGATGCCAATATAAATACTTAAAAAGCAAAAATAAAGAACCCTTTTTTCCTTGAGATAATCGAAGTAAGAAGAATCCAGTAAGCTAAAATATATTTACAAGTAAAACTGAAGCTGAAGCAATCAACCTAAAGCATAATTTAGAAGGCAAAAAAGCAGACTGCTAGAAAGTAGGCTTCTGCAGAATAGCAATAACCTCATGTCTTATCAACTAAAAATTATCACATTTTCTCAAGTGATACATTCCGTCAACAAGCCAGTGAACAGTGTGTGCTTCTTTAAATGTAGGTATTTGGAAGAATAGTATGGATCACTTTTGACTTGAAATGTCTATCTCACTTGGAAGGCTATCAAATTCTTACAATATCCTGTCAGCCCCTTCAACTGCCTCCAGGATGAAAGTTTTGTTGAGCGGAGTATCTGATATACCCAATTAAACATCATAAATTTTTTGTGGAAAATGCCACAGACAAAATTTAGTCCGAGTTTTGTCTCTGATTATGATTTGGAGTAGAGCCAGAAACAGTGTCTCAGTTATACGCTCATGGAACCAGTTCAGAAGAGCAGTGGATTTTTTTCCTTCTTTCTTTATCCCAGTTGGGGAACAAAGACATGCCTAACTAATTTTATGGCAATTCAGTTTAATAACAGAAAATCTTCATAGTTGCTACAATGTCAAAAATAAGCTGGCCCTGACGATCTGATAATGCTCGACATAAAAGGAACCAACGTTAACTGCATATATGTGGACCACAAGAAATTATTTTTCGTCTTTTAGTAATCCTTCTTACACTTGAAATATGTTCTATACATCCAGAATTATTCCAGATAGAATTTAAAACCCCACATATTGATCAGAAACGAAAAGGATGCTGACACTAAGATTGAAATATAACTATAAATACCCTAATCGAGATTGGAACTGCTAGTGCTCCACATTCTAGGGGAAATATATTCAGTTATTGTTATTTAGCTGAATGGTGAAATGCTCACAGGGTAACACATGAGAATACATTTTGAACTGTGCAACCATGTTGTAATAAATAGTGCACTTGTCCAAGAACCTGCGTAAGCAAGACAATAACTAACAGTGACAGTTTCTCTAACAAGTACATGGGGAAAATGTCAGCTTAGAACCCTATGTATTCCCAAGCTCCAACAAGATTAATGTGCACATGGATATGCAATCACGTATAAACAATGTATTGTGATGATACTATCTAAGCACTATACCCTAACTGTTGTGCAATATCACTGCCAGAATAACACCATAAAAGAGTTATTTATTACATACCTGAGAAAAAATTATAGAATCCTTGCTAAATAAAAGGTCACTGGATTTTGCCCCAATGTATACGTCACAAACTAGAGGGTCAAAAAACTTAAACTGCTGCAAAGCTCTGTATCGTGCCATATATGCTTCTCTTACACCTGATGTTTGTGAAATGATATAGGCTTCCTGCTGTGGCCACCGCTCCCTTCAATTAGCAGTATAAAATTTCATTTAGCACCACTATTATAACATACAGATAAAAACCACAACCCCAGTCCATGCCTTCACTATCAAGTCTCACATATAGAAGAAAATGATCAGAAAGACAGGATACAATAAATAAAAGCAAGTTTGTGAGCCTATAAATAGAGTCAGGGTTCATATTCTCTTTGTCTTGCTCGGATTTGTTTTCCCACCAACCAAACAGTACTGGTTATTCTACAAATAATATCTTGTGATAAATATCAATCTATTAACATTCAAGCGCCTCAAATTGCAGTGCAATTTTTGAAGATATTAGAATTAGGGAGCATCAGGGTTACATGTAACTGAGAGGATGATCTTGAGAACATCACACTCTACTTTCTGAAAAGAAGCTACATTAAAATCTTCACTTTCAAGCTAGAATTTAGAAAGATGTAGATTTAACATAGATTTTGTAGAATTTTAACATCTATTTCAATCTATTGCAGTAGTTGCATGTTAATTATGAAGTTGAAAAGCAGCTAACACCATTAGACATTTAACATATCTACTTTTTCACTGTCTCTTATCTTTCATAATCGATGAGGCTCTTGTTTAATAATATATAACGAAGTGCTACATGTAAGAGGAGGCGCCATAAAAGCACTAAAAACGATCGCGAGAATAGAACCTGAACAAACGTCGCCAAATGGAATCAGAAGAAACGACGCGATTGAGAAATTTGCAGGAGATGGCCATGTTAGAGAGGTCTTGAAGGGTGAGGTGGCTTGCGCAATGGACCAGCGAGTCCATATCCATATCCGTAACCTTCGTCGTTGAATCATGGTTTGTCGATGTGGATGGTAAGGGATGATTACACGCCATTAAATTCCGATTCTTTCTTTTATTCTCTTGATTCTTCTCCGAAGAGATTGATATTCGATAAACCCAGGAAGCCCCAAAATCCCAATTCGTAGGGTTTATGCAGAATGAATCAGTGTAAGAGATGCATCAAAGACATAACCGGAAATGTGAAACCGTTGGGGAATTTTAAAGGGGAAGTAGTTGGTCGGTTTAAAAAAACAAAGTGTAATGACAAATAAGGGTACGTTTACCTAATTAAATTCACATATGATTTAGGGGCTGTTTGTTTCCCTCTCAATGGTGACATTAAGAGGCAGCCTCTTCATCGGTCAGAGGTTAGGACCGTTTAGCAAAAAAAAAAAAAACCTCTTAACGGTTACATATGACTCTTAACCATTTTGAGGGTATTACTCCACTCAACTATTCGGGGGCTGTTTTTTTTCATCTTTGCCCTCTTCTCACGCATCCCCCTGATCGCTTCCATTCTTCTTCCCCCTTCCATTCCCGATCGCTGCACAGCCCATCCTCTTTAATCGGGGCCGTCGTTCCTTTCCTCCAAGAATAAAATCGAGGGTTCATAGTGGYCGTCGTTCCTTTCCCCCTTCTTGTTGGTCACCGGAACAGTCGATCGAAGCTGGCGACGGAGGGAAGGCAGAGGCGGAAGACTGGCGACGGAGGGGGATGGCAGAGGCGGAAGGCTGGCGACGGAGGGAAGGCAGAGGCGGAAGGCTGGCGACGGAGAGGGATGGCAGAGGCGGAAGGCCTGAGCGGTGACGACGACCAAACCAGGCTTCAACTCCGACGACGACCAAACCAGGCTTCAACTCCGACGACGACCAAACCAGGCTTCAACTCCGACGACGACCAAACCAGGCTTCCAGTTTGCTTCAATGTGATTTTTGGATTTGTTCCCTCTTTGTTTCCTTGAAGTCTAAATTCATCCGTGTTTTGTTATATGATTGATTTCTCGATCTGGGTGTTCGTCATTTAGGGTTTGTTTTAGGCTCTTGATGAAGGATTTGATGTTATGGATTGCAGTTGAAATCAAGTAGGGTGTTTGATGATCAATTCCATGTTCTGTGTTACAATTTTTCTCTAGAAAAACTTAAACCCATTTTGGGGTTTCGGACTTCCAATTCATTCAGTACTAAATCAGGGTTAAAATGGTAATTTGTTGTCATTCAAAAACCAGTTACCAAAGAACATTATTTCATTCAGCACTTAATCATTCTGACTCTCATAACCATTCTGACCACTTAAACATTCTGCACCAAACCATTCAACAACTGCCAAACAGCCCCTTACTTATTTTATAACATGTTGTCCACCAAAACGACATCGTATATAACAATTTATTCAATAATCGTTAATCATGATAAGAGTTGTCGTTCTCACTTACAGGATAAGACTTTCGGTCCTTATCTTCGATTTTACCGGGTAAGATTTTTGGTCATTGTCATATATCTGATAAGATAACATAGCTTGATAAGTCTTGCCTAAGTAAGCGTTTGGTAAACGAACTCTTACTACGTGTGTTAGAGAGTGTATTAAGTTTGAGGTGTCAAAAGCCGTAATTGAGAATGAAAATTAAAAGAAAGTAGTTGGTTTTATCTATACTATATTATAAACATTTAATAAAAACTCTTAAAAGTCGTTTTTTATACGTTAAGTATTGAATATTGATGCATATTACTTAAAATTCAATATTACAAGTAAATTATGCATAAGTACAACTTATTAAAACTTCATGTTTGAATTCGTGTAACCAAATGTGGATAAACATAATCAAATAGAGGATAAACATCTCGTTTTAAAATATCAAAAATCTAATATATAAATAAGATAATTATCGAGTTCAAACAAAATAATTAATTATTATCTTTGTAATAAAATTTATATTATTAAACCAAATATAAATTACTTCGTTATTAAACCTAAATTAAATTATAATAAAAAAAATTGAATTAAAAAAATACATAAAAAATATGAATTTTAAATAGTTAACTTGATACAAATATCGATATATTTTTGTCAAAATTTTAAGATATTTCAAATTTATATTTTATTCAAAAATAAAAACATCATCGTTTTTTCAAAATCATAAGACCGTGCTATAACATCGACTGAGATAAAGAATAAAATGAAATATTAAAATCAAAATTTATCTTGCTGCATTGCGCGAATACCCTTCTAGTATAATATAATGTGTCCATTTAACTAAATCTAAATTTTCATTCAATCAATTTTTCATTCTGGTTGAACTGGTGAAATGAAAACTCATTCTTATTTTTATTCTCTGTCATTTTTATTTTCATTTTCATGTTCCATGAAACTTTGGATATTCATAGATACTCTTATTATTCTCGATAAAACAGCTCAGTAACAAATCACTTCTTTCAAAACATGCCCCATCCGTTCCACTGGAAACAATCCAATTAGTTATATGGGTGGAAAAACATTAGACATTTCGTCTTCTAAAACCAACACTTTTGATGTTATTTGACGTCCAATAATTCATATAGCCTATCATGTACCTATACCCCCCCAAGATCGATAAATCTTTTGGACCTTATTAACCCAAGAGATACGACTTTGCACTATAGTTAGTTTTGCATCAAATAAGAATGTCCAAGGAATTCCAAGAATTATTGCGATACATTTGAACCAAACAGCCCCTTACAAACTCAACAACCAATTTTTATAAAAATATAAAACAATAAGTGTGAAAATACAATTATTACATGGTGTTTTATCTTGTTTTAGTCTTTCACGTTTCACATATAAATCAACATTGTATAAATATTGCATTTTTACTCATCCAAAAATTTTTTTTATTAACCTGCATATCCAACCCGATATGCAAGCCGACTAATCCCATGGCGCTTTGCAAATAACTCGGAGTCACTGCATTTGAACCTCCGTGACCACAAGGGGATTTTTATTCCTTCTTAGATTTGAACCTGATACCTCCTGATACTTTTGACCTTTGGAGTCAAACTCAAACCAATCAGACACCACCCTTGTGGTTTACTCATCCAAATTATTAGGTCTGTAAAAAAGAATCTTAAAATAATTAATGGGTAACATTCAAATGATATAATCCAATTATGTTAGTCTTGAAAGTCGTAACTCGTTTAAAATATTTGTAACACATAATTCATCCATAAGGTAGTATTTGGTACGCAGATTGGATGGGACAGTACAGGACGGTACGGGACAAGGGACAAGACAGGACTAATTGTCTATTCTATGTTTGATACGACTAGGACATGACAAAACAAAACTATTAAAATGACCATATTACCCCTAAATGTTGTTCAATGTTATTTTATATCATATAATGATTGTAAAATGACAACAAATCAACCAAAATATTGTCATTTTAACTTTAGTCCCATGTTGTTCCACCTTTTTTGATGGAACAAGAAATATCAAGATTTGTCCCATTAAAATTAAAAATAGTCCTACCTTGTCTCATGTTTTTTTTTTGTCCATGGCATGCCAAACATGAGACTATTTTTTTTTTGTCTCATCATGTCCCATGTAGTCTGCATATCAAACGCACCCTAAGAGCCTAATTGGGTCATACCATCACCATGAGGGGATTATATTAAGGTCATGTTCGCAACTAAGTTAACTATGAACAAGTTTCGATATTATTTTTGTAGTAAGAAACAAATAATAATATGTTTGTATATACGGAACCTTTCATATAAGACCGTAGGCTAACAAAGCCAATAATTAGGTGATAAAACATATCTCCAATAATTATGTTAAGGGAGTGCTAATGACACCCCTTTAGTAGGGAGTGCTGAATCTTTGGGAATTGTGCATCTTTTAAGATATACTAGAAGCGTACTCGCGCAATGCAGCGAGATACATCGTGTTTTTAATATTTCATTTTATTATTTATCTCAGTCGATGTTATAATATGGCTTTATGTGATTTTGAGAAAGCGATGATTTTTT